CCCGGTCCCCCCCCTCCCCCACACACGTGCAGGGTGCGATGGGGCAGCCTCACGCCTCCGCTGCTGGGAATTGAAGGTGACTGTGAAGAGACAAAGCCCTGCCTGGGGTGGTCTAGGTGGGGATGGCTCTGCTTCGAGCAGGGGGTCTGGTCCGACCAGGTGAGGTGCCGTCCCACCTTCATTTTCTGTGATGCTTTGTTGGCTGGCGGCACCTGCTCCCCAGGCAGCTGTGGGAGGCTGTGGTTGTGCTGTAGCCTGGGGCTGGTGGGCATCGTGGGAGGAAGGCTGCTCAGCGCTGTCTCTTTCTTTTGGTGCGCGTGTGTCTGCGTCAGGTGTGCCGGCGGCTGGGGATCATCGAGGTGGATTACTTTGGGCTTCAGTTCACCGGCAGCAAAGGCGAGAACCTGTGGCTGAATCTGCGCAACAGGATCTCGCAGCAGATGGATGGGCTGGCGCCGTACCGCTTCAGACTGCGTGTCAAGTTCTTCGTGGAGCCGCACCTCATCCTACAGGAGCAGACCAGGTGAGAGGAGCATGGTCTCCAGCAATGTTTGCTTCTCCTTTCCCTTTTCTTGTGACCGGACAGTGCCCCTTCACCACCTGTTTTGGGGCCTGTTGTACCATGCATCTCTTATAGCCTTCGGTTTTGCTTGAGTCTGGTGGTAGTTGCCTCCAAATGTTTGGAGAATGAAAGCAAACTCTGTGGAACTCATTTTAAGCAGGTAGCTAAAAACGTGGCATAACACGAGAAGTGAAAGTAAAGATCTTGGCACATTCAGAAATAAATATGTATATCAGTTGTATGCCCGATAGTAACCTCTGGTTCAGCAATGTTACTATAGGTCATTCTCAGCTGCTTCTACAGAAAAGCCGGAAACGTTCCTCCCCCAGTGCTTAAACTTGTTGAATTCCTTCTACTCTAGTGTCATATTACAGTATTTTTCAAACAGCTATGGGCCCTCTTGCTGTGAAAGGAGCAGCTGTTTTGCTAACCAAACCCAGTAACTAAACTGACATATTGAATGTTTTTCTCCTATGTGGTAGTGTTCATCTTTTGAATTCCACACGCCTTTAATTTGGCATTTTATTGGTTTTAATTCATGCACTTCACTGACCCCACGAGCCCTAGCTTTTTCTCCTCTCGGACAAGCACCACTGAGCATTTTTGTGTTTGCTAACATTTTGTTAACTTCTCTGCAAACTTCAGGTTCCAGTAGGAACTGTGAACGCTGGTCTCTGGAAAATAGTATGAAAGCATGATCTAATGCCATTTATCTTAATGTGCTATTCACTTCAAAATGATTGCCAGGAATTTCACAGCCCATTTTGACTGAAATATTCAGCTAATACATTTGTCCAGTATGGTTGGCAGTCTGACTTGAAAACATTACAAGTGAGTTTTCAAATAGGCCCATTGTAAGTTATCTGTACAGCCATGATACAGTCAGTACATGGGTCAGATTGTTGCAATCTTCTGGATTATGTGAAGTATCTTGCAGTTTTCTATAACCTACTCAGCAATTTAGTTTAAAAATAGAAATTCTAGCAAAAATGACAGTTGTGTCTAACCCAAAATGATGCAAAACATTGCTCTCACGTTTTTCTTCCTCAAGCATGTCTTTGAGAGTAAATAGGAGAAATGTCTTCCTATTTAATCTTATTGTGTGAAAAACAATAAAGTAGAGCCAAATAGTCACTCCTTTTTTAATACTTGCAAATAGGTTACAGTGGAATTTGTGCAGTAAGTCAGAAGACATTTTCTTGAGCATCCTAAATTGTTTTCCAGCAGATAGAGCGAACCATGATGGAGTTTACATTGGTGCAGTTTACAGTGTGGCTGGCAGGACAGTGTATGCATTTGAAGCTTTTCTAAACTCTCCCAGTAACCTTGTTACTTGAATACTTTTAATATGTAATCACAAAACTTGGCATGTTTGAGCAAGTATGTCTTAAGGGTGAAATTCACCTTGAGAAGCCAAGAAACAAATATGAAGCAAGAAATCATGGAGAATGCGTGCTTTGTACACAAGCCTATCTACAAAGGAGGAGAGAGAGCAAGTTGGGGCTCTTGGTTCTTGGCTATATGAAGAAAACACAATTTTTATTTTTAAGTTTCATAATATAAAACCTTAATTTTTCTATACTTTTATTGCCCTGGAGGAATTTTTTGTAATGAAGAAAGTAGTGAAATTGTTGTCACAATTTACTGAAAGAATTGTGTCTCTTTTGGGCTTCTAGAGGAATGCTTTGCTTTTGGAAGCATGTCTGACTTAATTCCAACTATACAGTTGGTCCAGTAAAAGAAATTGCCCAAAATATCCTTGCCTCTTTCATTTAGGAGAGTGCCTTTTTGCTAAAGATTGAGTACATATGAGGCTTTGCCATGGTTGGGTAGCCTATTTTTTGCGCCACGGAAGACCTGGCTTTGGCACACTTTTATTTTTCTTGGTATTTTCATTTTAAGAATGCAGAAAAAACATTTGTAGGTCTCTTACAAAGAAATAAAAGGGGAAGCCCAGTTTACTTTGACCCCATAACTCTTTCATGTGTAGCTTGTACAGACTTGCTTGCATTACTGTGTAGCTGAAAATAGACTTAAGGAGCTATGTTTACATTCTGGAGTTAGCTTAAACCAGTGCAGTCTGACCAGTGGCCCACGCAGCCCATGCTTTGTTAACACGTGGCCCCCAGGCTCCCACCCAGCTGTTGCTGCCTCTCTTGCTCTGTGCTGGGGCTTCTAGGCTCCCCCTCCCACCTGACTGCTGCTGCATTCCCCTCCGCAGGTGGTGGGGTGGCATGGTGCAGTCCATATTGCTAGAGGAGCCAGCAGCCCAAAGTACCCTTGCAGCATGGTGCCGCACGGGAGCCTTCAGGGACCTAAAGTTGAGGTGTGGTGCTGAGCCATGGGGGGAGATGTGGTGGGGGTATGCAGTCTGGAGTGTCTGTGGCCCGTGCTAGTGCTGCTCCTGATGGGGTAAGTGGCTTTTGGTTGCTTTGAAGTTGGGACAGCTGAGTTAAATTATTACTGAGCTGATGGGTACTGTTACAATGAGGTAGGCTGATTATACTACAGTTTGTGCTAGTGGACCTCTTCAAGATGCTCACTGCATACCAAATCTGCACGTACAAGCCAGGAGCTTCATAATGTTTCTGGTTAAGGTGTTTTTTCTGTGTTCATGTTTTGGATTTTATTCAGTGAATAATTCCGATATTTGCCTTGCATAGAAAATCTGGGTGTTGGCCACAAACCAAGCAATTACAATCTGTAATGTGCATTTACACTTTGTGGGTGCCATGCCTTTTCTTAGAAGTGTACACAATGGGAGGACACCAAAAAAGGAGGAAAGGCAGGCACCCTGAGCAATGAGCAGGTGTCCTGGAGAATAGTCTTGGGACTATCTGTTCAGTTGCAGCTGATGTCTTGTTTTTCATATTTACTGGCATTGCAACCATGCAGATTAACAGAGGAATAGGTGATGTGATAATCAGCCCCACTTAGGGTATGTGTGTGTGATTGTGTCCTCTGCTTATCAATTTTATGTGCATCTAATGATATTATAGTGAGTAATTAACAAGACCACTTATTCCATGTAGATAAGGGCCAAGGAGTATAATTACATGAATCATTTTCCAGGTTGTCTGTGAAGTTAGCCCATATTCTTCACCCTTAACTCTGTGATGTGCAGATCACCTTCAGTTATTTTTTTCCTTAAATAAGCTGTTCCACTTTGGGAAATGTAAAAAATTCCTTTAAATTTTACAAAGTCAGTATTACAAAACCATGTTAATTGTAAACTACTAAAGTATTATATTTAAGATCCTGAATAACGCACAGTTGTTTTCAGGCAGTTTCTTGCATACTTTTGAAAACATTTAGAATATGACTTTCCACTTAATTAAAAGCATATGTTTATCTTTGAAAACTTAAGATACAGTTCACTGTATGTTCTGGGATTTGAATCCATTCTCAAATGTTCAAATATCTATAAAAAAAAGTCTTCAGGGTCTCTCTTTTTTCCCTTCTTCCTTTCAAGATTTGGAGGATAATGGCTTTTGTGTTCCATATTTGGATTTCAATTCATGGATTGACTTTTTTTGTTTTTTTCACTCCAGTGCATTATGATTCCAGATTTTGCTAGTTTAGATTGGCTTCTAGTGGAATAAAAATTAAAAATAGATCCATGTAAGATTAGATCTATTGTAATTTGTATACTCAGCTAAATTCAGATAGGCTTCCCTAACATGTAAGAAGGGTAGGCCTGTTTAGGGAATATTTAAATATCCTGTGCTTTGAGGCTTCTACTGTGCTCTTTTTTTAGATAGAAAATGGATTCCATTTGGGAATATATATATTAGTATACATCTAATACATAAGAAATATACAGTGTATATACAGTTCCATATGCGTGTGTGTGTGTGTGTGTGTGTATATATATAGGGGGGGTGTATATAGGGGGGGGTGTATATAGGGGGTGTATGAAATATACATTGTATTTTTTAATTGGGAAACTAGTTTTGTGGTTTTCCACAAAAAGCCCCACTTTCCCACAAAAAAACTTGTTTTTGTGGTTTGTCCTCTTCATTTCTAAATGGATAGTGTAGCATATGGTCAAGGTTTAGTTTAAAACAGTTTGTCCATTCCAATAACCTCTGCTTCCAAGTGGTCATTTTAACATACTGAATATACAGTAGAAGGAATCAGGATTTTAAGGCAGTTATTCCTAACCAGGATATCATGACACCCTGGGCTGCCTTGAGATCCTTTCAAGGGTGCTGTGGGGTGCCATGAAGTGTTTGTACTGTTAGGTATACAAACATGATCCATAAGATAAACCCAGAGATTTCAAATAGGAATTCATAGTAAAAAACATTCTGACCTGTTGTGGTCTTTTAGCAGTCTTTGCTACAGAAGACTTGCTCTGTTACATTTCTGTAGTCAAAAGCAAGTGAAAATTTCGAGCTGCTACTTTTGGAGGGGTGCCTTGAGCCTACAAAGTTTCAGAACCATTGATTTTTGCCAGCTTAGTTTTGCATTATGAGAATTTGTTACAGTCTGGTATTCTGTAAAAGGAATGAAGTGGGATTTAAGAGTGGGGAGGAGAACTAGTTTGAAGTTGTGGTCCGTGAGGCCTGGGAGACTTCTGAAGTAGTTTTAGCTTTGTGCTCACAGATCGGTTCGTTATAATTTGAGGTGTAATTGGGTGAGTCTCTTCTACATGTTTTAGCACTATAAAGCTCCAAAGGAGGATGTGAAAGTCCCCACTATTGGTTGAGTAGTAACAATGCAACTTCAGGTCATTGACTGAGAGTAACCTCTGACTAATAGCTAACTACTCACCCTGTCCAGCAAATTGGTGACTGCTGCACTGGAACAGCGCCCAGTATCTGAAGAAATTCAACTCCTGATTGGTCTGTAGTTGTCTCGAGGCAGAAAGTTCTGCTTTTATGGTCAATAGGTTTCATTGTGAAACAAGTAGCAAAGAAATCTAGAAACTTGTGTCCACCTTTGGAACAATGACCAGT